AGCTCTGTGTCTGTGTGCCTGCAGGCCGTCTTATCTTTGACAACCTGAAGAAGTCCATCGCCTACACGCTCACCAAGAATATTCCCGAGCTGACTCCATATCTGATCTACATCACCGTCAGCGTGCCTCTCCCTCTGGGCTGCATCACCATCCTGTTCATCGAACTGGCCACCGACATCGTGAGTAATCGTGTCGTTAAGTTCACTTCTGTGGGGAAGCAAATTACATTACAGCACAACAGGTGATGATTGTGCCTCGTACTAACAGCACCAGACTCCCTCTTAACAGCAGGTGTTCTGGTGATATTAACAGTAAATTAGCTGCATCATTATGCTCCTCGCTCTCTTGTCCAGTGATACAGTGTTTGTTTACTCCTGTCTGTCCTGTAGTTCCCATCTGTGTCTCTGGCTTATGAGAAAGCAGAGAGCGACATCATGCACCTGAAGCCCAGAAACCCTCGTCGTGACCGGCTGGTGAACGAAGCCCTGGCCGTGTACTCGTACTTCCAGATAGGTAGGACTGTATTCTGGGGACTTTTTATGCACCAATTTGTACCATTTTCTGCATCAGTTTATGGTGGAAATAACTTGAAACATTAAATATCAGGCACCAGGTAGCAATTCAAAATATAGTGGAATACATATGGATCTAATTAGGTTTTCTAAAATAGATGTGATGGTTGTATGAGCTCGTAATTTCACTGTTGCGCCCCTGCACAGTACAACGGATAAGCTCTCTAACGGTCTGCAGGAAGCTGATCTACTGCTCCATATACTCACCACAAACTTTTAAAACAGTGCTGACCCGTTTTTCTTTCTCTACTTTAGGAGCCATCCAGTCTTTTGCAGGTTTTACAGATTATTTCACAGCCATGGCCCAGGAGGGCTGGTTTCCACTTTTATGTGTCGGCCTGCGCTCTCAGTGGGAGGATGTTCACCTGCAAGACTTACAAGACAGCTATGGACAGGAATGGGTCAGTTTTCAAACTGCGGATACAAACAATAAAAAAAAAAAGGGGGGTAGAGTAGTATTTTTGTCAACATAGAAACCTAATAATTCTGCTTTATCTCCTCTGCTGTGCTTGCAGACCTACAGCCAGAGGTTGTACCAGGAATACACCTGCTACACGGTGTTCTTCGTCAGTATAGAAATCTGTCAGATCTCCGACGTGCTGATCAGGAAAACTCGACGTCTCTCAGTGTTCCAGCAAGGCTTCTTCAGGTCGGTAAAGACCAAACACGAATCATTCAGCACAGTGTATGAACAGCTAAAGTCAGGCTAGTAACATTTACAGGGTAGTTCTGTCTGTGTCACATTAACATTCAAACCTCTGAGGCTGACGCTGCTTCTAGAGTTTCTGAAATAATGACGTACAGGATTATTCCAATTTGGCGGTTTATGCATTAGTCCTGTGTTGCTAGTCTTGTAGTCACGTCATGTAAAATACACCTAAAGTAGCTGCTTTTGCAGTCAGATGTGGGAAAATAGCAAGATCCAAAGTGTTTAGAGCAGGGGTCTCCAATCCTGGTCAAATGATGAGCTGATCATTCAAATGATCAGCTCATCATCAAGCTCTGCAGAAGCCTGATAACGATCCTGATCATGTGAATCAGGTGTGTTGGAAGAGGGAACCATCTAAAACATGCTGGATGGGGGCTCTCGAGAAACCAGGATTGGGCACTCCTGGTTTAGATCGACTTTTCAGGTTGTTTTTTGGAGCCAAACCAACAAAATGCTTAACAAATGTACTAGACCACCTCATTTGTTAAGCACTGTGTGTGTGTGTCTGTGTGTGTGTATAGACCATCGAGCATCATAAGGTGCTTTAATTCGCACTCGGCTCTCGGCGTTTCACCATTTTGAACAGGAATGAGGAATTTCAAACTGAATTCACCTTTTCATACCTAAATCTGAGAAGTCAGAAATGAATCAAGCAGAACATTCAACAACTAAAACTTTTTTTTTTTTCAGCAATGAAAGTGAAGAATTTCACATCTTAATCAAGAAATACTTATGTGCTTTACTATTTTTCTGCCTTTTTTTGTAAAGCAGTACATTTTAAAATTAATGGATAGCAATGATAATTATATTTCAGTATTACAAATATCATTGTAGTTAAAGAGCTTCTACATGCTGGTGTATTAACCATTACAGAAACATAGGAAATGATTTTGGTAATTACCGATGCTCTTCATTTAGGGCAGCTGTGGCATAAACCTGACACTGGGTGGTGGTCTAATACATTTGTTAAGCGCTGTACATTTAATTAGACAGTGAACACAAATATGAATGCACCATGTAATATGTAATATATAAAACCCAGAGGTTAGGAAACAGCTCAGATTGAACCCTTTTCTACCCACAAATAAGATTTTAAACATTTCCTCTAAACCAGAAAAGACCATTTGTGGATTATATTTTTCTTCAGTGTCAACTCTGATTCTGTTACAGCTGCGTAAAACACATGCACTTTTATCTTCATGCATTCATTTACAAGTAGAGTCA